GTTTTCAGTGGAGGTAACACCTTGCTTGAGACTCTCTTCAACTAAACGCTTTTTTTCTGTGTTTCCAAGCAAATTATTGGTCATTTTGAAATATATTTTACATATTGACAATATATAATGCAGTGCAGTGTTGATTTAAAGAAAATAATCTTGAAATACACCAAGAGAACTAAAATTTTATGGGTGAAATGGTGCCATGGGGTGAAATCTCTTCCACCCCAATGCCTTCTCTTCTTCCTTCTCCTCCACCCCCATTCTAATTCCCATCATCATCATCATCATCCAGGAGCCTTCTACATACACACCTCAAAGTAAGTGAACTTTTCTACCATTTTTGTTGAATTTAGGAAATTTTCGGTGAGCTGGAACCAATTACCCAAAAACCCATTGAAACAATGGTTTCGGTTAACGAACTTTTCGGTTAACGAACGACCTTCTGGAACGGATTGAGTTCGTTAACCGAGGGGTCACTGTATTTACCATAACATTACATATATATTTAGTGGGTATAAATGGTCGTAAAATGGGAAACGTGGGGTTGGGTCTTGGGTGCCTGGACCCAATTAGAATAAATCCCATAGGTTCTGTACTTTCGTTATCGGCGGGGTCCCAATTAGGCGTGATAACCAAGGGAAGACTGTACTGTACTGTATATACTTGTGACACTGGCCAGTTGCTTCTGGTGTTATGGTACCAAGTGACAGCACTCGGATCCCGCTTCCTCTATCAAGGAATAAACAATTAAAATTTAAATTGAAAAAAAAAAACATTCAAATAAATTACTATCTTACAAGAATCCCTCCAATGTAAGTTATATTCACCCAGGTCGTTTGGGTGGAAAATTATGAGAAGAGCTTAGTCACTCTTAAGTAATGATAAATAAACACGCAGGCCTTCAGCACCAACTGTCAAATCTTATCTCAAATAAATAAATAAACAAACGCCAGACATTCTGTCACCTCACCTCCCGCCCCCTCTTCCCACCCTGGTGATTTCTTTATGTTTATTTTATATAATATCTCAGACTAAAGTTAGGATAATATAATTTGCATTGCTGAAATCCTTGCAAGACAGAGATTAATTTGAATATAAGCGTCATATATTTTGCTCAAGATATAAAAAATGTAGTACATTAGTGTACAATACTGTAGTACATTTTATAAAAAGTTTTTCAACTGTATTTTTGGGTAGATTTACATAAATTTCTTCATTTATTTTCACCCATTTACATTCACACACCATACTAAAATAAACGTAAAATAAATTAGTGCAAAGCTGGACTGCACACGTACTAATTTGATTATGGTTCTAAAGTTGTTATGTCTAGTCCGAATTACATCTTTTTTATATTCAAATAAATCAGTATCTTACAAGAATCCCAGCTATGTTAATTATATTTTCTTAGGTCATATCACTGGCATTTTAAAATGAGAGAAGCTTAATAGGACTGTTAAATAAACACACAGAGACCTTCACCTCAAACTTATCACCTCAACCCCCACCCCCCCAACCCCTCGCTGGGTGGCGGAGCAGTCAGTCCCTCCCCCCCCCCAGCCAGGCTTTTAGGCTTACAGTTCTTATCTTATATAATATCTCAGACTAAAGTTAGGAGATTATAATTTGCATTGCTGGAATCCTTGCAAGACAGCCAATAATTTGAATATAAATGTCATATACTTTGCTCAAGACATAAAAAGTGTTGTACATTAGGGGGCAGTGAAATTTTGCTCAAAGCTGCACTCTTCAGGCATTGTTCCTTATACATATCTAAGACTCCATGCCAAATTTGAAGCTGATATGTCGAGGTTTAGTCTGCCGCATTTTCTACTGAAATTTTTAAATTTACCTACAGTACTAGCCAAACAGCCGCTGTGGCGGTGCAATGTTCTGTTCAGTGTTTATCAACTTTTTTTTCATATCTCTTATTTCATTTAAGTTGTCTTGTTGCAGATGAGTATGGTGCTATGTCTATATTGATTATCAGCCTTTTCTCATTTCATTATGTCATCATGGTTGAGCCTGGCAATGAATATCTCACACATGTGACTCCCAAGACTGGACACGGAAAGCAGATTGCCAAAACTATTCACGAGTTTCTGGTGGAGAAAAATCTAACCCAGCAGCCCATTGTGTGTGTTGGTTGTGATGGAACCAATGTAAATGTAGGATCAGAAAATGGAGTCATTCATCATCTTGAAATGTTACTTGGTCACCCGCTCCATTATTTCATATGTCAGCTTCACGGAAATGAGCTGCCTTTCCGCGCAGTTTTTTATCACTATGATGGTAAACCAAGTGGTCCTGAGCATTGGCGTGGTCCCATTGGAAAGCAGATCAAGGAGTCTTTGTCTGAGCTTCCAGTTGTCGCCTTCCAGCCAGTCAGTTTCCCTGATTTCCCTGTGTTTAATGATGAAGTGGAGAAAGATCTGTCCTGGGATCAGAAATACCTGTATAGGATTTGTAAAGGAGTTATCACAGGTGTTGTTGAAGATGACTTGGCTGCTATTGAGCCAGGTCCTCCCTGTGTGTCAAGGTGGAACACCTTATGGAGTAGAATCCTCAGGCTGTATGTAGCAACATCAAGACCCAGCCATGAGTTGAAAAGAATTGTCATTACAATAATAAAGTTCAGTGCTCCAATGTGGTTTTACATCAAGATACACCCTTACGTAACACACGGCTCAAGGAACGTATTCCAGTCCCTGCTATATATGAAACACCTGAATAGTGAGGAGGAGACGATAGTGAAGAAGGCTGTCCAGAGAAATGCATACTTCGCCCACACAGATCAACTTCTTCTTGGTATGTGTGCAGATGAGGACATGACTGTTAGAGAAAAAGCTGTCTCAATGATAAGAAAAATTAGAGAGGAGAATCAGCAAAAGGAAGAATGCACTGGCAGATCTGAAGAGGAGGAGGAAGATTCTGATGCTGCTGTTGACGAGAATTTGTTAAACTATACTGATGAGGAGGGTAAAGATGGAGATGGGAATGAGGATGTGCCTCCTGTAGTCAACATGAGAAAGGTGGTGACTCCGAAACTAAAGTGGCAAGCAAAAAACTATCATTCCATGATTAACTGGAGGAATGAACTCAAGACTGAGCCTCCTTACATTGCTTCTCTGTCAAATCTACAGGTTAATGACATTCTTGAGACACCATTAGTGGTGCCCAAGTGGCCAAACAGCACTCAGGCGGTCGAGAGAGGCATAAAAGTGATGACTGAAGCTTGCACTGAAGTGACGGGATACGAATCGAGAGATGGATATATTAGGCAAAGATTATTGTCTAGGAAAATGATGCCAAGGTTCCGCACAAAAAAGAATTTCAATATGAACTTGTAATGATTTTCTATACGGTGTACCTGTAAAATAACATGTGAATTAAATCGATGTCACCCATGTAAAATTTATCATTATCCTGGAAAACATTAAATGACACCTAATTTTTGGTATACACTAAAAGTTGGCAAAAAGTCGTTCGCGATGCGACAGGGTAAGTATGCATGAAATGGCATGAAATTTTGCACAGGTGTTTGTTACAGCCATACAAACGATGCCTGAAAAGTGGAGCCTGCAACTCAAATAAAAGTGTTTTTTCCCTGCCCCCTATTGTACATTAGTGTACAGTACTGTAGTACATTTTATAAAAAAGTTTTTCAACTGTATTTTTGGGTAGATTTACATAGATTTCTTAGTGCAAAGCTGGAGTGCACATGTACTAATTTGATTACGGTACTAAAATTGTTTTGTCAAATTATAGCATGTTTATATTCAAATTAATCAGTATGTTACAAGAATCCCAGCTATGTTAATTATATTCTCCTCGGTCATTTCACTGGCTTTTTAAAATGAGAGAAGCTTAGTAGGACTGTTAAATAAACACACAGAGACCGTCGGCTCAAACTTTCAAACATATCACCTCAACACCCCCTACCACCCCTCGATGATGGCTGTCCCTGCCAGCCAGGGTTTTAGGCTTACAGTTTTTATCTTATATAATATCTCAGACTAAAGTTAGGAGATTATAATTTGCATGGCTGGAATCCTTGCAAGACAGCCAATAATTTGAATATAAACGTCATATATTTTGCTCAAGAGATAAAAAAATTTGTACATTAGTGTAGTACATTTATAATATAAAATTTCTAACTGTATTTTTGGGTAGATTTACATAAATTTCATTATTTATTTTCATCCATTTACATGCACACACCATGCTAAAAGAAACGTAAAAGAAATAAATGACCTTTGTGCAAAGCTGGAGTGCACATGTACTAATTTGATTACGGTACTAAAATTGTTATGTCTAGTGCAAATTATAGCATGTGTATATTCAAATTAATCAGTATTTTACAAGAATCCCAACAATGTTAATTATATTCACCCAGGTCATGTCACTGGTTTTTTATAAGAGAGAAGCTTAGTCACTTAAGAACTGATTAATATACAGGTACACGCGTTAGACCTTTGGCCGGTGCCAACTGTCAAACGTACTACCTCACCTCCCGCTCCCCTCCCCCCCACGCTCGCTTGCTCCCTCCCTCCCTCTACCCCATCTGCCCAGCATTGCTGGAATCCTTGTAAAACAGTGAATAATTTTAATATAAATGTCATGTATTTTGCACGAGATAAAAATTAATCACCTGTATCACATTACAGTAGTGATTTAAGAGTAAGAGTGTATATGTACGTATATAGTATTCCACATACACGTAAGTATAAATACAAAGTTTATGTGATGATTGGACAACGTCCATTTCGGTAAACGTCACGTTTTCAAGAACGTATGTAGGACGTTAACCGGCGCATGACTGTACCTGTAAAAGAGAGAGAGTGAAGCAACACTGCGGCGAAGAGAAAGGGAAGAGAGATTATTTCTAAGGGAGGAGGGTTAATAAGTCAACAAGTAAGAAACTTTAAACACATAACAAGGTTAGTAATTACTACTATTACATCAGTAATTAAAAATCATTTGAGATAAAACTCTGGAGACAATACCTTGAGAGCAGATAACGCTCGGTGTAGGTGAGTGTTTGCTGCTGTAAGATTGTCCGCACGATCTCCGGATGCTGCTGGACTGGCTTCTCCATGACTCACCTCACCCAGAGCAGAAACCCAAAAATGTTGTTGATCAGAGCACACACGCCAACTCAATACTCCATACATCCCTGCAGCCAGACTATGGTGGCCATATCTGAGTCCACAAAAATACGAAAACCCATTAAAAGTCATGACAAATTTTTATATCCGAAAAAATGATTAAACTATTAGGTACAGGCATCTACCAAACAGGGAGGTACTACCGCCTGGGAAGATATTGGAAGCATAATGTGTTGTCTAATGGTAGACCCTGATACCATAAGGCATCACGAAAATGTGACCAAGTCCCAGGTTGCTGATCTGACTTACTGCCTCATTTACACACAATTGCAAGGTCTCAATTGTTTCTCTTACCATTGACAACACACATACATAGACAGTATAGTCTGGGTTTACGTGGATATTTTTTACGCTGAAGGCCATTTACGCAGCACCTGTCAGAAGAGATAATTATTATTTACACAGTAAATTCCATCACATATGCAGCAAGCAGCAGGGCAAGGTGCTGGGCGCTGAAGTCAGACTTGTGCCGGTAACGTTGCAGACTGTGATTGGGCCACGTATCCTTACCACCCACGCACCCTCTCTGCCGCGCGCTGTGATTGGTCTAGTTATCCTTGCCACTCCCGCCACCCACGCTCTCCACCGCCGCATCAGTCTCACTGTCTCCGTGTATATTCACTCGTGCCCAGGAACCGGTGCTTTTTTTTTTCTTTCTACACAATGGCTTCCGCTGGACCCCCACCTCCCCCAAGAAGCCCTGAACTACCTGGCCCAAGCCCAAGAAGGTGCGATGTGCCTTAAACTATGAGGTAAAGTGGTGGCTGGCGAAGCTCAGTCTGTTGCTGTGGCATTGGAGAACGCAAGAGAGGCTGCACAAGGTGTTAGAGCTGCAGGCTTCTCAAAGACCACTAACAACGACATCCTGGAGGTAATCAGGCAATCTGAGATGACTGCAGACGAGATGTTGGAAGGTGATGACATCAGTGAGCAGCGAGGTGGAACAGAACATCAAGAGCAGAAACTAACACATGCTGATGTGAAGGAGGTCATCGAGTTAGCTGAGAAAATGAAGCTCATCCTTGCCAAAGACAGTCTAATAACCTTCTGTTGAAATGCCTGGTGCCCTATTTTCAGCTGTATCACGACCACACCAATGCTAGCTGTCAACAAAACATCACCCGCCAACCACCACAGCCAGCCCAAGTCAGTGACAGTGAGGATGTGGACTTCGAGGGGATTGACGATGAGGCCCTGCTAGCCTCTGTGGTGGATAGAGATACAGGTGAGGGCCAATAATCTGCTCTCTGCCTCGGAACCAACCCCCATCTCTTCTACTATCGTAAGTGTTAAAAAACCTAATATTATTGATATTTCTCTTATACTGTATACAGCAGTGGTTCCCAAACTTTTTCTGATCATTACCCACTTTTCATATATGATCCTTATCCATGGCCCCCCCCCTCCCAATCCATATCTCTGGCTGGCTCTGCTGCTGACTGGCTGTTCTAGTGTGGTGGGGCTTGGGATTTTTATGTGTACATAGCTTATGGCCCCCTAAATTTTGCTGTATGGCCCCCAGTTTGGGAACCACTGGTATACAGTATTAATTGTGTGTGCATACCATCAAAAAATTAAGATGTTATTTTTACTACAATGTACGTATTGTGTCGGCGATAGCCAAAAAAAGGTAGTCTGGCGGTCGGCCCAGTCTCTATTTCAATTAATCCCATAGGTTCTGTTATTTTATTTACGAGTTTCGCTTTATACGCGGACCTCCATGGGTATAATTAACCACATAAAACCAGACTATACTGTACATCATTTCTCACTCTTGATCTATTTTATATTTTATTTATTTATGGGTCTTTGTTGTTGTTGTCATTATTATTATTATTATTAGTAGTAGTAGTACCTGCAGTAGTACAGGTATAGTATATTTTTATTAATTTTTTTTTAATTTTTAAAATTTAATTTTTTTAGTAATTATTATTATTACTATACCCCCCCCCCCTGATGCGAGTCGTTGACCTGTGCCCAGGTGGGCTAATCCCTGAAAAAAAGTAAATACAACAAGATTTAATGATAGTGAGCTCTCCCATTACACTATAGTACATGAATATGGTATGTATCTGAATAGCTTATGTGATGATAATGTATGTTCTGTATTACAGTACAGTGGTCCCTCGGTTAACGAACACAATTCGTTCCAGAGGGTCGTCGTTAACCGAATCCATTGTTTCAATGGGATATTGGGTAATTGGTTCCAGCTCACCGAAAATTACAAACAAAGTAAAAATAAACTGCAGTAAAGTACAATTACTTTGAGGTGTGTATGTAAAAGGCTCCTGGTTGATGATGTTGATGGGAATTAGAAGTGGGGGTGAATGAGGAGAAGGGATAAGAGAAGGAAGTGGGGATGGAGGAGAAGCATTATACTGCTTCTTGGAAGGCGAGTCACCTTCCATAATAATGTCAGGAACCTCAGGACTGACAGATTCTCCAACAGGAAAATCCTCTCTCCTTTTTGAAGTGGAAGACTGAGGGGAAGCATCTTTCTCCCGCTGCCTTTTAGAGAAGAAACTGTCAATGTTGGTTGTGGGGCATTTCTCCTCCTGATCATTAGCTGGTTCTTGAAGAAAGAGACCACCTTGTCCTCAACAGCACACAAAATCGGTTCTGTTGTTTCCACATCAGGGTGCCTTGAAGCCAGTTTCCTGAACATCTCCCAGTGGTGAACAACATCTTTTAATTCTGAAGAAGACATATGGTCATCACTTTCCCTTTCCTCCTCACCACTGTTTCCAGCATCTCATCCAGTTGTTTCAAGTCTTCAGGAGTAAGTTCCTACTCATGAGACATCACAAGCTCTTCCACATCATCCTCCTCCACTTCGAGGCCCATTGACTGACCAACGGACACAATCTCCTTGTCCAACTCTGCTTCTTCCTCAAATCCCTCAAAATCATGGACTGCTGTTGGCCACAGTGCGTTCCATGTAGAATTCAGGAATCGAATGGAGAGTTCTTGCCATGATGACACGATCAATTTTACAGCCTCCAGGATGTTGTATTTCGTCTTCCAGAACTGTGCCAGTGTTAAATCAGGATCAGTGGAAGTTGCCTGATGACACCTTCTGAACATTTTCCTCATGTACAGCTTCTTGAAGTTGCTGATCACATTCTGGTCCATTGGCTGTATGATTGATGTAGTGTTGGGAGGCAAAAACAACACTTTGACAAAGTCAAATCGAACCTCCAAAGTGCTGGCAAGTTCAGGGTCATGACCAGGGGCATTATCCATAAGGAGAAGAGCCTTTAAAGGAATTTTATTGGTGGTTAGGTAGCTCTTCACAGAAGGGCAAAACACCTCAACTGCCCATTCATTAAAGAGCTGTCTTGTCACCCATGCCTTACGGTTGGACTTCCAACAACTCCAAGTTGTCCTCTTACCACTTTTTGTTGCTTGAACACCCTGGGGTTCTCAGAGTGGTAGACAAGCATAGGCTTCAGTCGGAAATCCCCTGAAACATTGGCACCAAGCAATAGAGTGAGACGGTCCTTCATGGGTTTATGCCCAGGTAAAGAGGCTTCATCTCTGGTGATGAATGTCCTTTATGGCATTTTCTTCCAGAACAGCCCGGTTTCATCCACATTGAACACTTGCTGTGGAAGATAATTCTCTTCATTCATCAGTTCCTTGAACTCCACTACAAATTTTGCTGCTCCTTCTTTATCAGCACTAGCAGCTTCACCATGCCTAACAACACTAAAAATGTCACTTCTTTTCTTAAATTTATCGAACCAGCCCTTGCTGGCCCTAAACTCTTCGGTCAGTTTCAGAAGAAATAGGTTGATCTTCCTTTAAATGTTCGTAAATTTCCCTGGCACTTTCATAAATAAATTCAGTAGAAATTGAATCTCCTTTCATTTGTTTTTCTTTAATCCAAATAAGAAGTAACCTCTCTGTTTCTGCAATTAATGATCTACCTTTAAACACTGGTAGATTTATCTCTCACTTTCACTTCTTTAAATTTTTCTTTCTGCGCAAGAATTGTAGACACAGTTGATGCCGACATGCCATATTCTTTACTTAGTACATTTGTTCTAATGCCTTCTTCAAGTTTCTTAATAATTTCCTGTTTCACTTGAATTGAAATTGCCTTTCTAGATTTTTTTGGACCCATGCTGGATGCAATACAGTAATTTCACCACTAAAATTTTAAGTTCACTAGCTGTAATTAAAAATTATTTTATTTAAACCAACACTGCACTGTGCAATATATTATCAATATGTTAAATAAATTTCAGAATGACCAATAATTGTAATGTAAAAAACGTAAAAATACTCTGTGTTCAAGAGACCTACAAGCAAGATGTTTCCTCCACTGTACAGAGAGTTAAACAGACGCTTTGGTGGGTGAGTTAAGTGGCTGATGGGAGCACCAAAAACTAGTTTCCTGTACTGCATATATTACACTAGGCTGCATTTGAAAAAAAAATTCATGAGGTGCGGGGTTTCTTAGCTGATTCTTTATGTATTTTGCGTGCTGATTCCAAAAATGCCATTCATTTTACCCAATCAGGTCAGATTTTTATGCTATGGGAATTAGGAAAAAATCGAAATTCTTAAATATGATGTCCAAATTTTTATGCAAAATATATCATAAGAAATGTAACCACAACACATAGGACCAAAATATGTCAACTACATAGATGCCTTTACAGTTAGACATGCATAAATGGCTGTCGCAGAGAATTTCTTTGGTGGTTGGTGTCTGGGGCGTCCCATTTCAGACACCAACAGTAGTCGGCGAGCATGTTGATATCCCAGCGACCCTGGTACCGCTCCTCCATTACACGGATATCTTGATGGAAGCGTTCTCCTTGTTCCTCACTCACATCACCACAGTTCTCTGGAAAGTAGTCCAAGTGGGAGCTGAGGAAGTGCATCTTGATGGACATGCGTGCACCAAGAACTTTGTAGCTCAGAAGTAGGTCCTCAACAACTCGTCCATACTCTGGACTTCTGTAGTTGCCAAGAAAATTGGAGACAATAGACTTAAAGGCCTGCCAGGCTTTCTTCTCATTTACATCCATGCTGCAATCAAACTTGGGATCTTTGAAAAGCTCTCTGATCTGAGGGCCATCAAAAATTCCTGCATTCAGCTTTGCC